GTGGGTGGGTTGGGGGGGGGGGGGGGTTTGGAGCCTGGGAAGAGGGGTTCCCGCATACCTTGGCAGGATGTGGGGTACTGTGGGTCAGGAGTGTGAGGGACAGCAGCAGGGCTGGGGGGCTGTGGTTTGGCAGTGAGGGGGACACACGGCCCAGCAGGTAAGTTTGTGGTAGGGAAGGTGTGTGGGGGAGGGAAGGGGCAGGGTTGCAGAATGAGGCCCCCACATTGAGGGAGGCATTGGGGCAGGGACTGGAGTGAATGGGGCCCCAGGGCCAGGGTGGGTTGAGGGACGTTTCCGTGGGTACTTCATTCAGGGGATGCGCACACCTTGGGGAGACATGAGGGGCATGTGCCCCTCAATTTTGTGTGTGGGATGGAAGCGGGCTGCTGATCAGGGCTGGGGCTCTGCACCCGATTGCTGTTGCCTTGTGTGCCGGATGCACCATGTCACCTGTCCACCTGGCGAGAGGCACAACATGGTGTTGCACAGTTCCTGGTGCAATGGCAGCAGGATACAGAGACCTAGCCCACTGCAGCAGCCAACCTCCACCCCACTCACAAATCCAAAGGACACGTGCCCCCCATACCTCCTCTGGGGTGTGTGCGGTGGTGGGAGCCCCCCCTGCACCTCTGGATGAGCCACCTGAAGCTCGGTCCCATGGCCTGCCCCTGCCTTTGCCCCACTCCCTCCCTCACCCTGGGGGCCTCCATCTGCTCCACCCCATGCCCCTTCCCCTTCACAGACTTGCCTACTGGGCACTGCTCTGTACACCACTGGGCCGTGTTCCTAGCCACCTATGGACTGCGTATCGATGTCTGTGTGCGCCCCCACCCCCACATGGCAACCATCTGGGGCCTGCTTCCCAGGCTGCCCTGTGGTCCTCTGAGCCTGGGTGTGGGGCTCCAAAACCACATTCACAATTAGTGTGTTAAAAAAATGTAACAGCGGTTAATGTGTTAATCGTGATTAACCGACGGCCCTAATTAGAAATGTTCCAGTGATGAAACCAGAGCTGTTAAACCTGATGGAAGAAAGCCATGCATCATAGATTCATAGATGTAGGGTCAGAAGGGACCTAAGTAGATCTTCAAGTCCGACCCCTGCCCTGGGCAAGAGAGAATACTGGGCTCATATGACCCCAGCTAGGTAATTGTCAAGCCTCCTCTTAAAGACCCCCATGGTAGGAGCCAGTTCCACTTCCTTTGGAAGTTGGCTCCAGATTCTAGTCGCCCTGACTGTGAAGTAGTGCCTTCTAATGTCCAGCCTGAACCTACTCTCAAACAACTTATAGCCGTTATTCCTTGTTACTCCGGGAGGTGCACGGGTGAACAGGGTCTCTCCCATTCCCTGCTGGTCCACCCCTAGTAAGTTTATAGATGGCTACCAAGTCCCCTCTCAGCCTTCTGTTGTGAAGGCTGAACAGGTTCAGATCCCATAGCCTCTCCTCACAGGATCTGCCCTGCTGTCTCTGGATCATGCAAGTGGCCCTCCTCTGGACCCTCTCGATGCTGGCCACATCTCTGCTAAAGTGTGGCACCCCGAACTGGACACAGTACTCCAACTGTGGCCTGACCAGTGTCGCGTAGAGGGGGAGGATCACTTCCTTAGCCCTGCTTGTGATGCATCTGTGGATGCATGACAAGGTGCGGTTGGCCTTACTGACTGCGTCCTCACCTTGGTGGCCCATGTTCATTTTGGAATTAATAATGACTCCAAGATCTGCCACTGTGCTTTCGAGAAGGGAGTTCCCCCGCCTATAGGCATGCTGCTGGTTCTTACTGCCCAAGTGCAGTACCCTGCGCTTGTCAGTATTGAATCCCATCCTATTCTCATTTGCCCACCCCTGTAACCTGTCCAGGTCCAGCTGTATTCTGTCCCTCCCTTCTAGCATGCCCACCTCACCCCAAATCTTGGTGTCCAAATCTCGTCTCCTCAAGGGTCTGGAAATTTGGTGTTGGGGGACCAGTGGCAGAGTTAATTGCCAGTCCCCTACTGTAAAATATCTGGTCTTGTGGGGAGCCCAGATCAGGCCAGCAGGGCAGGAAGGGTGGGTGCCACTGCTATAAAGCTTTTTCTAATATCTAATCTAAATCTAATTAAGCCAACTATTACTTGACCTACTCTAAGTCCTCCATGCATCGCTGTCCTCCATGTAATAACACTAGTGAATTGCCTGTCAAGAATGACGGGTGGGGGGGAGGCAGGGGGGCAGAGTTTGTATATG